AAAAGGCAAAAAAAAAATTTTTGCCTTTATTTAATTTTTTGATTTTATTTTAGGTTTTTTTTAAAAAAAGATTACAAAAAAAAAAAAACAATGTAAAAAGTAGTATATATGTATTGTTAATTTTTTTCTAATAAATTAAATATTTTATATATTATTTTACTTAAAGTCTATAATAAGCTTTTAAATTTTAAGATATTAATTAATTAACTTTATAAAATTGCCTTAAATTATATTTTCTTATAAACTTTATTGAGGACTAAAATAATTAATTTGTTTTTTATATATATATATAAAAAAAAAAACAAATAAAAAGAAATTAATAATATAATAATTTAATACATAAGATTTATTTCAAAACAAAATTAATTAATACCAAGTAATAAATATTATTCAAATTTAAATTTAATTATATTATTATTTAGATAAAAGCAAGGACTTAAAAATGTAAATTATAAAATAAAGTTTTTAAAAAATATATTATTTGATATTTTAAGCATTTAGTAGAATAATATGAATATTTAATATAGAAAAGCTTAAATTACATTTATTTATTTTATGTAAAATCTATTATTAATTTATTTATTTGCTTATTATTTTTTATTAATTCAAATATTTATTAAATTCCATAGTATGTAAAATTGGAATTTTATAATCTAATTAATAATAAATATATAATAAAAAATTATTATAATTACATTATTTCTTTTTGAGAATTTCCGAAAATTAAAGCCAAATTTTCTAATAATTAATTTTAAGATAAAATTAAACCAATTTATTTAATTCCATTATCAGTAAATTAATTATTATTGCTATTAAAAATAAATAATAATAACTTTTTTATTTTTACCCAAAATTTAATTTAAATTTTCTAATTTCTCTCATTTTTTACATTTTTTAACTTAAAGCTTACAATGTAATATCAGTCAAGTTAGAATTATAACTAAATAAATTATTAACTATTTATAATAGTAACATAAAAATAAATATTTACTTTAAATTTAATTTAAATTTTCTTATCTTTAATGAATTTCTTATTGAGTCGGCAAAATATTACATTCCTTTGTCTGTAATTATTAAATTATGCCTATAAATAAATATATAATTATTTTATTAACAATATAAATACCTTAAATCGAAATCTATTTCAATAAGATAGTATTGATTTCTTAATAGTCTATTTAAATAAAGAAAGCAAATATCATTAATTTAAATTTGTTATAAAGTTTATAATTATCTAAACAAAAATATATAAATATATATATATATATATATATATATATATATATATATATATTTATATATAATTTTATATTAAAAAAACGTGAAATTGTTATTTGTTTGTTTTTATTTAATAGAAAATTTATATAATTATATATTTTATATCAATTACGTTGTATGTAATCTAAAATGCGTAAGTTTATTATTTTATTAAAGACAATAAGATAAAGCATCAAAATCTTAATCTTTTAACCTATTTTCACTTAATTTATATAAAAAAATCAATTTGTTTAGTATAAATTAGTTTTTAATATATTTATACTGTGTTATAAGTTCTATTGATTACAAACTTTTACATTAATTGAATGTTTAAAATAAATATTTTGTTTATTATTAAGAATGGCTTGTTTATCTAATTAATTAATATTAGTGAATTTAATATTTCTATTAAATATTTAAAATAACTCCAAATTCAAAGTTATAAATTCTATGTTATAGCATAAAGAAATAATCTTACTTAAAATTTATGGATAGCGCAAATTTTATTCGTTTCTTTTATTTAAATAATATTTGTAAATAAATAATAATATATAAATTACATAAAGTTTATATGTAAAAATTTAACATTTGAAAGTTTGTAATGAAATAGTTTCAAAAATTATTCTATAAAAATAATATTATGAATCCTATTTATAAATATAAAAATATTAAAACATATATATATATATATATATATATATATATATATATATATATATATATATCTTTATAAATTTTAAAAGTTTAATAAATTTATTTTAAAAAAAAGTTTAAAACAATAAAAAAAAAAATTAATGACTAAAAAATAATAAATTGAAAAAGAAGATAAAACTAATAATCTTATAAATAAAATAAAAAAATTAATTAATAATAATAAATTTAATTACTTTATTTAAAGATTTATAATATAATCTTCCTTTATTTTCTTTTAAAGATTATCAATATCTTTGAAATCATCATCTTCTATTGTTATTATACATTTTTTGATTTCTTTTAAAATGTTTTTATTCCTTATATTTTTAGGTTGATAACAAACAATATAATTAAATATACTCTTATAAATCATTTTAATTAGAGTATTATTATTTATATATAATTATATCCTTATTTATATAATAATTAATTAATTTTTTTTTTTTTTATCGATTAGTTATAAAATACATTATGCTAACTTTAAAAATATTCCATTTTTATAAATAATTTGTTTATATTTATTTGTTTTCTATAAAATAATTAATATTATATCTAAAATTAACTTTTTTATGATTTTATTATTGGCGCTAAAAGCTAAAATAAATAAAAAATATATATTAAAGTAAATATTAAAATAAAAAGTCTATAAAAACAAAACAAAAAAAACGAAAATAATATTGCTTATAATTTTTCTTAAAAAGGTCGAAACGGAAGATTGTTTCTTGAATAAATTAGTACTGAATATATCAAAAAGTTTATCATTAGGAGATTAATATGAGTTTTTTAAACTAAACTAATTAAAAAATTAATCAAATTCCTCCTTTTAAAAGAAATTAAGAAAGGATGATTGAAGTAATTTAAATTGTATTATTTGAAGAATTATTTAAATGAGAATAGACTTATAAAATTTACTTAATAAAATTAAGTAAAATAACTAAAGAGATTGTTTTAAAAAAAGCCGTTAAATACGGTAGGGAGGGGGGAGGGGGGGGGGAAAAAAAAAAATTGAATTAAATATTTTTTTTTATTTCTAAAAAAATAAAAATTGAAAGAATAAATTAAAGGACTATCATTTAAAAAAGTTTGAAAAGTGTTAGATATTACTGAATATTATTTAATAAAAAATATGAAAAAGTTTATTAAAATAATGTTTTTAGAAGACAAAACAAAAAATTTTATGTTTTTTTATTTAAAAAAAATAAAATAAATTATTGTTGGGGGAAATAAAAAATGGTATTATACATAAATTATAGCATATATTTATAGAGAAAAAGCATTTAAAACTAGTGTTTATCTTAGATATTTAATTTAGTTATAATAAAATCTAAATTAGAGATGTTTTTTAAAAAGAAAATAAATAAAGATATGAATTTTGAAGTGATTTTAAATATAAATAAAACTAATTCTAGTGATAGATAATAAATTACTTTGTATTTTAATTTTATTCTCATGATTAATGATATTTTTAAATAATGTATTTTAAACATATATAAAAATTTTTTATTATTTATTTTTTCTAAAATTAATTAAAAATATTATAAACTGTAATATTATGTTGATATTCTCTAAAAACAAATATATATATAAATATATATATATATATATATATATATATATATATATTTATTTTTATATATATCATATATATTAATAATATTCTTTTTAATTATTTGTTTTATATTATTATTATTTTAAAAAAAAATATCTATTATATTATTTTTATATTAAATAAAATAACTACAAAAAAAAAATATATATATATTTATATATTTCGTAAAATAATCATAATATTCAACCATCTTACCCAAATTAGTTTGTAAAATTTTCATAATCTTTCAACTAATCTTATCCGACGGAAGGTTTAGTTTTTTTAACTGCTTAAAGTACATCTTAATAGCAAATATCTGGCAAAAATAAATTATTTTAAGTTAATTACATATAATTCATTTCCACAATATCACTACCACTTTCATTATCATTTACTGGCATGAATTTATCTCCTATTTTCTTAAATTTTTTTGCCTATTAGAGTTTTCTAACTGGTTCAATAACTGCATCTCTTATTAAAATCGAAATATCAGCCCCAGAACATCCTTCAGTATTTTTAGCGAATTATTAAAATTATTCATCATTAATGTTATGAGGCGTTTTCTTCAAATAATGCTTCAACATAAATTATCTTGCACCCTCATCAGGTAATGGAATGTAAATTCTTTTCTCAAATCTTCTTCTAACAGCAGGATCTAGTCCCCAGGGAATATTAGTAGCCCCTAAAACAAGTACACCCTTATCTTAATGACCTACTCCTTCCATTTATACTAAGAATTCCGTTTTTACTCTCCTTGAAGCTTCATTTTCTCCATCAGATCTATTGGAACATAAACTATCGATTTCATCAATAAAAATAATCGATGGTTATTTTTCTCTAGCAAGTTAAAAAAGTGATTTTATCAATCTAATTATAATATTGATATATAAATATTTTTATTAAAAATAAAAAATATTTACTTTTCAGATTCTCCTACATATTTACTAACTAAATCAGCTGAAGAAACTGAAAAAAAAGTACTTTCGACTTCCGTAGCACATGCTTTAGCTAAATAAGTTTTACCAGTACCAGGAGGTCCATATAGAAGAATACCTTTCCAAGGCTTTCTAGCCCCTTCGAATATTTAAGGGAATTTAATAGGCAATATAACGGCTTCTTTTAGTGCTTCTTTTGCTTTGTGTAAACCGGCTATATCATCCCATTTTATATTGGGCTTTTCTGTTACTATAGCTTCAGATAGAGTGTCTTTGAATTTAGAGTTTTCATCTTTTCCATTTGAATTACTATTTATTTATTTGTGCGTTTTTTTTTTTTTTTAAGTTTTTACTTCTTTTCACCTCCTAAGGCAGCTATTTGTTAGGGTTTGTTTAAGTTTTTTTTTTAATCTTCTAGTAATTACATTTTTTATTCGATTGATTTTATACTGTTTTGGTAGGTTTGAGTTAGACTTTGGACTAATGCAGGATCTGTTTCTCCTAATTATTTTTTTAAGTTTAATTTAATTTAAGAGTATATATATATAGATATTATTTACTTCCTATCCATAGCTATAATTTTCTTAATCCTTGTAAATATAATTAAAGACCTTCTTCTTTTTCTTAAATTGTTTCTCCTTGATTTAGTAATCTTTTTCCTCGGTCAATTAGAGATAAAGTTTCGGCTTTTATTTAAGAATTATCGATTTTAAATATCGGTTATTAAGGTAACCCTTGCATTTTTTTATTCTATTATATAATTTTTTAATTTATATAATAATTTTTTAAAAAAATAATAATATATAAATATATAATATAATATAATTTATGAATAAAAATTAGATTTTTTATACTTAAATATATTTTTTATTACTTTTTTCTATTATTTATATTAATAATTAATATTAAAAATTAGAAAAAATAATTTATTTTTAATAAAAATATATAAACATTATTTTTTTACATAAAAGTTAAACTTATCTTATTAATAGTTTAAATAAATATTAATATATAAAAAAAAAAAATTTTAATATGTATTTTAATAAAGATAAAAATAAATATAAAAAAAAATTAAATTATATTAAGATATATATATATATATATATATATATATATATATATATATATATATATATATATATTGTTTATCTTTAACTAGTAATACATATCAAATATTTTAATACATTTAATTTATATATTATTATTCTTTTTTTTTAAATTATACAATTTTATATTATTTTTTTTTATTTTTTAATTTAATTCTATTAAATTAGCTCTTTTTTCTTTTTTTTTTTTTGAATTATCACAATTCTAAACAATATTTAAATAAAAAATTATATAAATGAATTAAATATATATATATATATATATATAATAAAATATTCTATAAGTTTATAATAATAATAAAATAAATAATTACTTGATTCATAATATCCTGAAATTAATTATTTAGATTCTAACTCTCTTTTTCATATTCAATAATTTATTTAAGTAAATCTTCATAATCTTATATAAATTCAAATTTTTTTGTATTTTCTAAATTATAGTTTATTTTTTTAGATTCTATTATTTAAATATTTTCTATTTAATAAAGATTTTATTCATGAAGTATTTTTTTTTCATCTTCCCATTTTTTTTATTTTAATAAGAAGTTTTCTTTAATTTATTCTATTTATATTTTTTTATTATCTATTTCGTCTTTATTTTATTCTATTTATTTTTATAAAAAAGTAATATTATTTTCTAAACTAAGAATTTTATTTTATATTTCAGTTTCATTCTTATTAATTTCTTCTGAGAAAATTTATAATTCATTTTTATAATTTTCTTTTGTTTTCTATACTTTATATTATATTTCTTCATATTTATTTTATATATCTTCCCTTATTCTTACTTCTTTTTACAAAATTTTATCTTTTTCATCTTTTTCTTCGTTAATTTTCCTTTCTTCGACCTAAATTTATCCTATTTTGTCCACTATTTCTCCCAAAAATATTATTTAATTATCTTTTTATTATATTAGCATTTTTTTTTCTAATTCATTGTTAATAATTGCTTCTTTTAATTAATTTTCTTCGGTTTTTAAATAATTTAATTCACTAAAAATTTATTACAAATTAATCTAAATTGTCTAAAAATATTTATCTTTTTTAGAACTTTCCTATTTTATTTGATTTTATAAATATTCCCTATCCTTATCACTTTCTTCTAATTTTATTTTATAAAAATTTAATTATTATAACAATTCGATTTCTTCTTATTCCAGTTTTTACGAAAATTCTGTTTTTCGTTTTTTAATAATAATAATTCTTCCTCTTTTTATAAAAATACACAATTTAATTCATTTATTCGTTTTTCTAAAGCATTCATAGCCCCTATATAGGCTTAACTTTCCTTTTTACAATGTAATTAAGTAATTTTCATATTATCATATTCATTAAACACTTATTCATAGTTTTTATTTTGCGTATTATTTATAGAATTATTGTATTTGTTTATATAATCTAATTACATTTCATTATTATTTTTAAATTAGGTACTTTAATATTACATTTTATATTTTTTTGTTTAAAATATTTTAATAATATTTTTTTTTTTATATTTAATATATTTATTATTATTTTTTTTTTTTTTATATAAAAATATTTACTATTATAAATAATTTAAATATAAATAAATTAAAAAATGATTTTTTTATTTTATTTATTATTAAAAAAGCTTCATATATAATATATAATCCATATTTATAATTAAATATATCCATTTTCTACTAATTATAAAATGTTTAAATTATTAAAAAAATTTAAATAGATTTAAATAAAAAGTAATGACATATTAAATTATTTAATCAATTTATATAATTTTTAAAAGCAATTTATATAAATTAAAAAATATCATGAAATTTTAAAATATATATATTTAATAATTATTTTATATATTATTTTAATTTTAAATTTTTTTCAATTATTTTTTAATAAAGCATTCATATTATATAGTTAAATATACCATTACAAAATCAATTAATTTACCTCCTCGATTAATTATAAAATTTATCTATAAAAATAAAAATATACTCATTTATTTGTATATATTAAATCTTATTAATCTTTAAAACAAAACTAAAATTAATAAAATTAAATATGTAATCATAAGACGAATTTTTAAAACTTTTATTAATAAACAACAGTAGTCCATTTTTTAATAGTGAATAAGATTTAGAAAAATATGATTTATTAGTTGAATAAGATAACAATGAATCCGTAAAAAATAAAAATAAAAAAAAAAAACATATATAATTCTTATTTTAAAATAGATATAAATTATATAACAATAATAAGATTATAATAATGATTTTTCAAAGTTTAATAATATAATTAAAGCTGAAAATGATTATGATTATTAAGAAAATGAAAACATATAATCTATGTAATAATAGTCTTAAATTTTTGAAAATAATGATATTTTAAAATTTACAAATGAGACTAATTTAGAATAATTTAAAAAAACTACTTTAAATTAATATATTGGATATGAAGATAGTAAAACTATTTATGAATAAAATGAAAGTGAAAATAATTTATAATATATGAATAATTAATTCATATAAAATTATTAATTTAAAGAAGCACAATAAGATATTATACAATAAATTAAAAATGTATAGGAAAACAATAACATATTAAAAGAATAAATTAATTAAAACGTAAAACAATTTTTAAAAATTATGAATTCAAATTTGAATTTAAATAAAAAATAGATTCAGATTTTAGAAATGAAAAATGAATAGGAAGATATAAAAAAAAATGATATATTATAATAGAATGAATAATTATATGAATAAATATAAAAAAATAAACTTCAAGAAAATATAATAAATAACTAAAACTTGTAAAATATAGATGAAGAAAATGATATATATGATATATAAACAGAAATATAAAAAATGAATATATAATAAGACAAATAATAATAAAATCAAATTTAATTTAATATTAAAAATTAAGAATAAAATAACAATTATTATTAAATACATTAAAAATTATAATAATAATAATAATAATAATAATAATAATAATATTATAATAATAATAATAATTATAAAATTAATTACATTAATAAAATAATTAATTAATAGCTACACTTTAATATAATGAATAATTAAGTTTATAATGTAATAATAATTAATAATAATTAGACATAATAGATTATGAAATTAATACATAGAATTAATAGCATATAAATTAATAATAAAATTAGTTTGATTAAAATGTTTAAAATTATTTAAATTTTAATTAATTATAAAATAAAAATCTTAAAAATAACTTAAAAATTAAAGAAATTTAACAATCTTAAAATATTAATAACAATAATTTTTAATACGATAATAATTAATTCTATAACTAATAAAAAAATAGTAATAATTAAATTTAAATAAACTCAAATGAAAAAAAAATTAAAAATTAAAAATAATTAATTTTAAATAATAATAATAATAATAATAATAATAATAATAATAATAATTTTAACAATAGTCATTATAATAATTTAAACAATTTAAATTAAACTTACAATAATAATAGTATAATTTTTAATAAAAGTAATTATAATTTTTAAAAAATTAAATTTAAACTTATTATAATAATAATGACTATGAAAATTAGTCCTTTTCTACAAACTTAGAAAATATTCCATAATTTTTCCTTTATAAAAAATACTTATAATTTTTCCAATTCATAATTTTCTTAAAATTTAGATATATCTTTATAAAAAAATAATTTTGAATATGATTAATAAAATTAATAACTTATATATGAAAATTAAATATAATAAGAATAATAAATATAATAATAACTTTAATAATAATACGAATAATAATTATAATTAGAGGAATATTAAATATAAAGTATTAAAAATTTGGATATAATAGAAAAAACTGATCATTAGACTTAATAAAATTTATAAAAATAATAAAAAACTGAAAATTTTTTTTAAATATAAAATAACACAACAAATTAATAAAAAGAGAATTATTTAGGTACATATATAGACTCAATTAAAAATTGTAATAAAAAAAATGTTGTAAAAAATATTATGAATGCATTTATTTATTTTATGAGTGATAAAAAATTTTAAATCTATAATCAGGAAGATTAAGAATATATACCTAAATTATATAATATATATTAAAAAGAAAACAATTTGCATGAAGATGATCTTGATACAATAAGAAAAAAGTTTAAAAGATATATTTGTTAAAAAAACTTAAATCATTATAGTATATGTTTAGTTATTTAACATCATAATTATGGACCTATTTTTAAATATTATTTAACAGAATAAATATATAAATGGATTAATAATTGTAAGGTCATCGATTTAAGTGCTCATATAAAATTAATTGGATTCTTTATTGAATGTTTTTAAGATTTGTAACTTTTAGATATTCTTAAGAAGCATGAAAAAAAAAGAGCACATTATTAATGATATATAGATTTTAAAAATGTGATAGAATTTTATAAAAAATTATATTAAAATAATTATATTTCACAAATGCATATTAAATTAATTAATTCATATAAAAATAAGGTATAATCAAAAAATATTTTTTTAATTACTATAAATTTGTATTTATATGAAATAATATTATTTTATTTTAAGTTAAAATTAAAAAAATATATTAATGAGTATAAAAAAAATATATATAATAAAATAAATAAAAATAGATAAATTCAAAAAATATAAATATAAAAATAATAATAATAATATAATTTAATTATATTTTTATATATAAAATTAAAAAAAATATTAATTATAAATATATATATTTAATTATATTTATTATATATATAATAATTTTAAATATTTATATTATTTTTTTTTTATAAGAAAATCATTTACATTTCAAAAAATTAAAAGTAAAATCTTCTTAAAAATATTTTTATTTAAAATGCATAACATATTTTATTTCATTTTAAAATTGTTAATTTCAATTTTATATTCCAGAATATTTTTCATTTATAAAAATGCTGGCAAATTAATTCACTTTTTGATAAATGTTGTATTTATTATTGAGCTTTAGAATGGTGAAGACTGTTATTATTAAAATTTTTAATAATATACTTTTGTTTAGAAGTTAAGTTCTAAATAACCAAAGAAGCTTAAATATAAAAAAAATAAGAGAAGTTTTTAGTTTGAAAATAAATAAGGCTAAAATAAAGTTAAATTTTTTTTAAAAAATAAATACGAAACATATAATAATGCTAATTTTAGTTAAGAATAATATTCTATATAAAATTAAAGGGAAAACAATTAATAAGAATATTAGAAAATAGAAAATAATTATTATATTGTAAATTTTGTTGAAGATTAAAAAAGATAAAATTAAAATAATTTAAAAATAAACAATATTTAAAAATAATAAAATTAGTTTAATTTTATAAATTTAGAATATAAATATGAAAAATAGTATTAATAATAATTGTATTTTAAATAATAATAGTATGAAATAAAAGATAATAATAATAAGTATTTATATTATTTATTTTATAATCACTTATAAATTAACTAATAGATTATAAATATTAGTTAAAAATCATATATACATGTAGACTTTTTAAAAAAATAGAATATTTCTCAGGATACTAACGTTATTATCTAATATATTAATTATAAATTTTCTTGCTTTTAAAGATAATGCCCTTGTTTGAAAATACTTAAAATTTATTATAAAAATAATCTAAAAAGTAATGAAATTTTATAAAAAGTTTAATTGCCTACTATTTATGAATATGTAGCTTATTGAATGACTGTTTTTTTAATATTCTTTTACTAGTTTTAATTTTTTTTATTTTTTAAAAGAATAAGTTAATATTTATTTAGAAAATAGCGTATTTTATTTAAAAAGTTTATAGTATTTTTATGTTTTTTTTAATAAATAGAAACTTATATGATAATTTAAAGTTAAAATTATAAATCTTAATTCTAATTTATATAAAAAAATATAAATAATATTAAAAAAATATATTTAAAATTAAAAATAATTAAAATAAAAAAAAATAAAAAAATATAAGTATACATAATAAAAAAAAAATTATAAAAGTATATAAATAAAATAACAAATTAAAAAAAATTATAAAATATAAAGAAATTCAAATAATTTATTAATATAAAATTTGTTTTAAAAAATAAATAATTTAAAATAAATTAAATTAAATTAAATTAAATTAAATTAAATTAAATTAAATTAAATTAAATATACATTGAATTTTAATATCTAAAAATTTACATTTTTTTTTATTTATTCTTATTATTTATATTTTTTTTGATTTGATATATAATAATATAAAATTTCTATAATTATAAAAGTTTTTGTTTTAAAAATATAATAAATATTACTTTAACTTTATTTTATGTTTTAAATTTTTAACTTTTTTTAAATTAATATTTTCAACTTATATTTCTCATTTATATTTAATTTTACATTTCTTTAATATTTTTTTTTAATTTTTTAACATTTTAAGATATATTTTTAAAATACAAACATTAATTTTTATTAATTGCTTAATTTTCTTATAATATCTTTTTAATATAACAAACGCCTTAATAAAAGCTGTTTTTGTGATTGCTAAAGGAATATTTCGAATTCAAGTTATTTTAGTATTTTTATTAATTATTTTTTAATAAATTTTATAATAAATATTTATTTTCTTCTATCAATGCAAAATTTATAAACTAAATAATATCTTTATTAAATTTTTTAAAATATTTTTAGCAACATATATTTTTTTTTTTAGAAATCATTTATTTAATAACTGCATTATTTTTGTTTATATTATTATCTTTTTATTTTTAAAAATAATTATTAAGTTAAAAATATTAATTTGTTAACATAGTATTTCATATGTATAAATTTACTAAATAAATATTTTTATTATAAAAATTTCTTCCATTAATAATTTTCGATTTTTTGTCATATCAAAAATATTAATTTATAAAAAAGATTTAATATATTTTCTATAGTAATAGTTTATTTGTAACTTTATCGTGTAAATAGATAATTTTAAAATTTAATATATTAAATATTAATTTAAGTATTATATTTTATTATTTTTAATAATAAAATATTAACTATATTAGTCGACTATAAAAAAATATTATTATTTTAATATTATTTATAAAATATTATATATTTTAATAATTTAAAAAATCAAATAGTCATGTATGCAATTCTTTAAATTAAAGATATTATCTAAAAATTTTCCATAATTAATTTTTTTTAAAAATATATATTTTAAGTTTATTTTATTGTAATTATTTTAATTTATATTAAGTTAAACTTCTTTTTAAATTTTTTAATATAATTTTAAAAAAATTTAGCATTTAAATTATGTTTAAAATTTAATAATTTAGAAATTTAGAAATTAAGTAAAAATCAATATTTATTTTTTATTTTATTAAATTTTAATTGGAATTAAATGTTTTATTTAATATGAAAATTAAATATTTTAACTTAAACCAAATATTTTTAACTATTTTTATATTTATAAATTTTAATTTATATAAAAAAATAATCTAGAAAATAAAGAAAATACAAATAATTAATTAAAGAGATATTTTTTTAAAGTTATTTATTTATATTGATTTTTTTTTGACGAATAAGAAAGAAGTTAACTTTTTTTTTTTTATTATTATTATTTTTATTAATATATATACATATATATATATTAATATAAAAAATATTTTATTTTTTTACTATAAAATTTTAAATTAAATTATTTAATTATTTCAATATTAAAAGTAAAATAAATAAAAAAGGTACAAATAAATATTAATATATTTTGGGTATAAATATTAATTAATATAATATATATCTATAAATAGAGAAAAAAAAAAAATTAAAAGATAAAACTAAATAAGAAAAAAAAAGAAAAATAAAATAAAAAAATGTCTGAATAAAAAGGATTTGCAACAAAACCAAAACTTTTTGGTAAATGGGATTATGAAGATGTAAAAATAAATGATCCATGCTTCCAAAATTACATAGCCTGTACCACAACAAAATCTTAAGTATTTGTCCCCCACACAGCTGGCAGATATTAAGTAAAAAAATTCAGAAAAGCAACCTGCCCAATTGTTGAAAGATTAATCGGAACTCTTATGTTCCATGGAAGAAATGCTGGTAAGAAAGCTCTTTGTATTAAAATAGTCAAAAATGCCTTCGAAATTATCCATATTTTAACTGGAAGAAACCCCCTTGACGTTTTCGTTAAAGCAGTTTAAAATGCCGGACCAAGAGAAGATTCTACAAGAATTGGTACTGCAGGTGTTGTTAGAAAATAAGCTGTTGATGTTTCACCCTTAAGAAGAATTAACTTGGCTATTTATTTCATTATTAAAGGAAGTAGAGAAAGTGCCTTCAAATCAATAAAATCTATTGCTGAAACCTTAGCTGATGAAATTATTAATGCAGAAAAAAATAACACTTAAAACTCATGGTCAATCAGAAAGAAAGACGAAATTGAAAAAGTTGCTAAAGGAAACAGATGATTTTACGGTTTTTTTATATTAAAAAAAGGGAAAAATAATAGTAATAATTGTTTTCTTTTTTTTTTATTTTTTAAAAAAAGAAGAAAGCTTATTTTTCTTTTTTTTATTTTGTTTTGTTCACAAAATATTTAAATTATTTCGCCTGTTTTTTTTTTTTTTTTTTTTTTTTTTTTCTTTTTTCTTTTTACTTTTTTCTTTTTTTTTTTTAATTTTTTTTTTTTTTATTAAGTTAGCTTTTTTATTATTTTAAGATTAGCAATTTTATCTTTTTTTTTAAATAATAATAATTAAATAAATTTCGAGCATATATTTATTTTAATTATATTTAATATAAACTTTTAGTCAAATTAATAATTTATAAAAAAAACTTATTTAGTAAACATTTTTATTCTAAAAATATTTTTATTTATTTTAATCTTATTTTTTTTAAAAGAAAATTTTATATTAAAATTAAATTTTGTTTTGATTTAAAAGTTAATATACCATAAAAATGTTTATATATTAAAATAAAAAAATATATTAAAATATTAAAAATAAAAAATATAATAAAATCTTGTTAAATTATTAAGAAATATACTAAAAAAATAAATAAACTTTATTAATTAAATATAAATTACTATTTAGTTCTAATTATTTCAATATTTAATTAAAATTATTATTTTTTAAAATAATAATTTTATAAATATTAGCTAGAAATTTAAATTAAACTTATATATTATATAATAAAAAATTAAGGTGTTTTTATTTAAAATATAAAAACATTTACAATACATTTAACTAAAAAATTTATTATATTATAAAATTAATTTTTAATTAATAAAACAAATAATTATATAATTTATTTATGTTTTTTTATAAATATGAATAAGGAAAATTTAAAAATACTAAAAAAACTTAATGTCTTGTATAATAATAATTATTAAAAATTATACAAAGAAGGTAATAGTGATAAAAATTTAGATTTTTGTTCTATTTTTAAAAATAAAATAAAATAAGAACCTAATAAATACACTTCGTATTTAATAAATTCTGTCTCTAAATCTTATTCGCCTTAAAAGACAAATTTTTAGCAAAATTCTCCTATTTTTAATAATAAAAACTAAAATTTTCAATTTAATAAAAAGGAATAAAATTTGAAATAAATACATACTTATACTAATAAAAAAAATATGTAAACAAAAAGGGATGTTCCTTTTTTTAGAAACGATAAAATTTAATAACGAATAAATGAAAAAAAACCTATTATTTTAAAAAAGCATTTTTTTTTTACTAAAGAAGATTAAATTTTAAATAAAAGTTTTTAATAAGCAAAAATTGAAAAAATAAAATAGGTTTCAAGGCCATATACAGCTAGATATTTTTGTTAATAATCATAAAAGACTAATATAAAGTATAATTAAAATATAAATAATTAGAAATTTTATTAAATAGATTAAATAAATAAAATAATTAAAATAAAATAATATAATATATAATGTAAATAAACAAAATGAATATATTACATATTTTTTTAAATTATTATTTAAATTAATAAAAAATATTAATTTTATAAAAATATATAATTATTATAAAATAAATAAAAATATATTTAATTTTATATTATTAAGTAAATACAAAAATATATATACATATATTATTTATATTTATAATATTTTTATTTTTATTTTTATATAATTTACAATTTTTTTTTTGTATTATTATATTTTATAATGTATATTTTATTATTATTTATTTAATATTTTACTTTCGTCTTTTTAAGAAAATTATATAATAAATAAAATGTTTTATTTATATGTTTCCTTATTTATTTTTTTATTTTTCTCTAAATAGTTAATATATTAATTTAATATTTTACTTAAATAATATTAAAACTTTATTACTTACATAGTTATCAAGCTATATATTTTTGCTTTCATTTTCTATAAAAATATTACAATTATATTTTATATATTTTTAACATCTTATTTTATATATAAAAAAATATTTTTTAATTTACAGTAAATTTAAATAAAAAAACAGGGAGAAAAGTTAGAATAAATAAAAAACAAAAAACAATAAATATTTTATTTTCCATTTTATGAAATTATTTATAAAAAAATCATGCTCTTAAAGCATATTTTCTCAATGAGAAATTATCTTTTACTTTTTATTATCTTAAAAGTATACTTTGTCTTTAATTTTTGTTAATTATCTTCTAATTGCTCTAGTTTTTTTAATACGGAGATCTAAAGGTTTCAAAGATTTTCCTTTAAATTCTTATTTTACGGCAGTTCTTCTTTTTTCATTAATAATTGTCAAATATTTAGCAATAGATTTTCTTACTAACTTTTATTTATTTTAAAAAACTTATAAAATATATTTTTGTTTTACTTTTATTTTTCCAAGTTTGTTTGCTGTACCTCCTGCAATTTTTGCAACTCTTAATTAGGAAAGTTCATCTTAAAGTTTTTAGATATCTGATGTCAATTGCTTTTCATCTTAACTTCTAAGCTTAAATACTTTGACTTTTTTATCCATTTTTAATTTTATATGATTTTTTTTGTTTATTAGATTTTTTAAATAAATAATAATATTAATCTTAAATAAATTTAACTTTTTTATATAATTTTATTTATAATTTATTTTTTTAATAAAAATAAATATTAATTGAAAATTAAATTAAATAATTTATTTTATTTTATAATATTAAATAAAACTTTTTTGTTTTAATTATTAAAAATAAATATATAATATTTAATATATAAGTTTTAAATAAATGAATAAGTAAAAAAAATATTGAATAAAAAATAGATATGTGTATATTAAAAAATAATAATTTTTTACATTAATAAAAATTACTATAATTATTTGAATATTTATGTTTTATTTTTTAAAATAATAAAATAATTAAAATAAATTATATATATAATTATCTAAATTTTTAAATATATTTTCTTAAAATTTTATTTTATTAATATATGTAATGAAGTATTTTATGATAAAATCATAAAATTTCAAAAACTCTAATTATAAATTATTCAAAAAAATCTAATTATATAAATACAAATATAATAAAAAATTGAATATAATATTTTATTTAAATAATAATATCAAATTATGATGTAAATGTATATATATTTATTTATAAAAAAATATATATTTAATATTATAAAATTGTATAGTTAGTAAAAAATATATTTGAATGATATAGTATTTTATATTAAAAAAAAAGTATGGAAGAAATATATTTATTTTTAAAAAACATATATATATATATATATATATATATATATATATATATATATATATATATATATATACATATATTTTTATATTATTAAAAAAGTTCAATTTCTTCTTCTTTTTTTTAATGTTAAAATATCACAAAAAATTAATCTATATTTTTAATTTTAAATTATTAAAATAAGCGAACAATTTCTAATTTTAATAATACAATATTTTTTAGGATATATAATTTTTTTATTTTTATTTTTTTTAAATATTTTGTTTAAATATTAATATTATAATAATTTTATTAATAATAAAAATAAAACAAAAATGCTTTGCATATATTTTAATGCTTTTTTTTGAATACGAAAAAAAAATATAAAAATAAAAAATTAATAAATATTTAACAAAATATTATTTTAATAAAAATTCATTAAAATAACAATATTTTAATAAATATAATACTAATATATTTATATTAATAATACAAAAAATAATATATAAAATCTTTAAAGATTTTATATATATTTATATTTTATTAAAAATAAATAAATTAATAAAAAAATTAATATAAAGAAATTAAAATTTTAAATTATAAATATAAGATATTTAATAAATATTTTATATAAATATATTATATAATATAAAATTTATAAAAATAACAATATATTTATATATATTTACATATATATATATATATAATTATACATATTTATTTATAAAAATTATCAACTTAATTTTTTAAACTTAAAATAAAATTAAAATAAAACTTTATTAAAAATTTTTATTTCTTTTTTAATGTTAAAATTATTAAAAAGAAAAAATTGCAAAAAAACTAAAATAAAATAAAATATATTTATAATCATTATTATTCCAATAATGGTTTTTTTTCTAAATTTTCGCCTACAACAACTTATTATTATAGATCCCATTCTTACTATTCTAATCTATTTAGTCCAGTATAATCTTTACTCCACATACCATTAGTCTAATTAAAGAAATCATTTCTAATTTTAGGGTTCCAATATTATTCTTCTAAATAGAAAACTAATGATCTTTAAGTATTCATGCAAATAATATCCACTAATCCATTACTATCCTAACAACTCATATCTTTAACCCCTGATTTAACACTAGGAGGAAGATGTTCTAAATGAGCAACTTCATAAACTTCTTCTTTAGTAGATCCAAATGGAGAAATTCGAGTTACAAATAGCAATTCTTTGTCTTTAGAATATTAAGCTCTAACTACATAATCTTTAGATAAATTATTCATATAATGCAACAATACATGAGTAGCATAGCATGCTATACCTGCAACTGCAGGAATATGTAATCCATTATTATCCCACATATATTAAGTGTGCTATATATTTTATTTTTTAAAATTGAAATTTTTAAAATATTATAATAAATTAAATATATATATAAATAAATACTTAATAATAAGGCCAAAAAATATTATCGAAAGCATGTTCTAAAGGCATATGTGTTTTAAACATTAATTAATAAGGAACAAAAAAGGCACACCAGAAATATCCTACTAAAGTTGAATAAGTCCAAAACTTAGCCCATTCTAGCAATCTAGTATTCTCATAAAGGATTTCTCCTTCTTCGAAATTCAAAGATTCGTGTGGATTTACACTTGGAAGTTTAACAAAAGGTTAATCTAAGAAATTCGGGTGATAAATATCTCCTTCTAACCTCAAAAGTCTCTCAGCTGGAGTACCTAAAATTTCTGGATGACCCAATCTGTCAGCAAAATAATCATATCTTTGATCATAAGGTACTTCAACGTCATATTTATACCCTTTATCGTGATGGAAATCTTTTGTAACGGGTCTATTGGCTAATTCTTTAGGCCATTCTACATCAAAATGGGTCATTTTGAAGAATTTAGGATAATAAACAGACTAATCAAGCCATCTATTTTCGTTTTTATAAGCATCTTCGTAAAAATCGCTCCTATTTCCTGTACATTCAGTTAAAGGTTTTCCACTATAATCCTACAATCCTTTAGAAATTGTAGTATGAATACCAGGGACTCCTCTTAAATATGGACGATCCATCTTTGCTAAAATATTATGTACTTTTCTTTATAATTCTAAATTTCTTTTAAATTAATCAATTATTGCATTTTTAGATTAAGTAGTTGTTTAAGCATTATAATCATCTCTTTCAGATGAAATATAGTCTTTGGATTTGGAATCATAATGAGATAATTAAGTAGATGGATGAGGCTTATAATCTAAATAGGCCCAGTTTTAAGCTTCTGGAGTTGTATATCTTTAACGAACTTAATTTAAATATTATTCATTATTTATGTTATTTTCGTGATGATCAGTAAGAGTAGTAGATGAACTAAATTTATATGTTTATTGGCTTTTAAAAATAATTTTGTTTGCTAATCTTGTTATCATTTTATATATATTTTAACTTTTTTTAAATATATTAATATGTAATTATATATTTATATATATATATATTTATTATTTATATTTTATTTATTTATATTTTATATTATTATTAATTTTTTTTTTTATTTTATTTTATTTGTTTTTAATTTTTTTTTTTTTTTCCTTTTTTTATTTTTTTTATAATTTCTTTTATTTAATCTGATTTTTTATTTTAGTTTTTTTTTATAAATATTTTATTTTAAACATTTTCTTAATATTTAAATTATTTTTTTAATTCATTATAAATATTTAATTATTTAATTTAATTTTTTTTATAAATTTTTTATTTAATTTAAAACATATTTATAATTTTATACATTTTTAATAATAATTTAATTTATAAATTTTAAAGTATTAATTATAGTTTATATATTATTTTAATAAAATATTATTTTACGAATATTTTTTATATAAAAAAAATTATATAATAATTTATTTAATTACATATATATATTTTTTTATAAATTATTTATATTTTTTTTTTTAAAAATAAATATAAAATATATATATATATATATTTCTATTATTGTCAAAGTTTATATTTTTTAGAAAACAATAAAAAGTTATTTATATATTTTTGTTTTAGTATAATATTTCATATATTTAAACTATAATTAATCTTTTTTTATCAAAAAAATAATATATCGTTGATATATTTAATATTAAATACAAAAAAGTAAAAAATATATTGTACTTTTTTTTTTTTAACTTTTTATTTATAAAATTAATATATATTATAATTTCGAAATCAAAAATATTCATAAATTAATTATCTTTTTATATCTTTTTCTCTTAATTTATTTAAATATTCAATTATTTCACTTTCAGTTTAAAAGAATTTCCCAAACTTTGAAATTTTTTTAGCAAGTTATCTTAAATATAACATATTAGCATTTTAATTACAAATATTCATAATTAGTAGATTTACATTTTTTTTATTCATCAATTATTGAATAGAATTTAATTAATTTTCATTTAATTAATTATATCCTTCTGTAAATAAACAAATAAATCTTAATCTTTCATTATCTATCAAACATTCGTTTACTTCAGCTTCATTAGTTATTTTTTTTTTTTTTTAATTTACTTTACTTTCTTCTAGTTTATTAATTTATTTATTACTTTCGAAAAGTTTACTTGTAACCAAAAGAGCTTAAAATAAATCAGATTTACCTCTTTGTATAAAATATAAATATATATATATATATGTATATAAATAATATATATATTATATATTTATATATATTTATATTTTATTTATTTATATATTTATATATATTATTTAATTTTTTTTAATCATTACCCAGGAGATAATGTTATTGACCTAAATTTTTTTTCTAATAAATCTTTATATTAATTTTTTTCTTATAAAGGAAAACTTTAATGAACCATTTCATTAAATACAATAAATCCGATTTTATCTTAATTATTGATTTTATCAAATATATTTTTACACATAAGATGTGAATTCTTAATTTATTCTTCTGTCATATCTTTAGAATAATCAATAAGCATGACTAATTCGATAGTTTTCAGGTTAAATTTTTATAATTTATTTTCTAAATTTTTCATTGGAAGATTAAATATTTACATTATATTTTTAAGAAATTCTAATGCATATTTTCTTATTTAAGAATCATAAACCTGGAAAATAAGTTTAAATTTAATAATTTAATTTTTTAGAAAATATTACTTTTCCTTCTTCAATAATATTAATTAAAAGAACTGCCGCATTTCTAAAGTTGAATTTAGAAAGTTCGAAAATTGCCTCTTACATATCAATAATAGACTTTAAAATATCATAAGGAATTTATATAAAAATATCTAAAAAGAGAGAAGAATTATAATCCACTTCTTACATATTTGTATTCGTCAATTATTCTATAATACTTTTTAATGTAATTCTAGCTTGCTATATATTATCTTCAGCATCTTTATATTCTCCTAATCTTAAATGACAATATGCTTTTTTAGCATGAATAATAATTTTCCTTATTCTATTTGTTTTAGAAGGAATTTCTGTCAATGAAAGTTCTATACATTATTAAAAAAGATGAATTGCTTCATGATAAAACTCATCTTTTTATTAAGCTGAGTACTCAAAAAGTGCTACTGCGAGTTAATATTTTCTATTTAAAAGCCTTGTTTTAGAGTTTTCAAATTTAATATATAATTCTTGTTCTATAAAGAAACTATCTGTTAATTATTAGGCATTTTCTGTTATTATTAAATTATTGTTGTTATTTATATCACTTTTTTTTTTATCATCTTGATTTACTTATAAAATGGTATTGAGATTTTACTATTAAGACTATCTTTATTATTAAGTAAATAAAAAGGTTTCATTTTAAAATAGAGTGCTGGTAATTTTTTTAATCGGACTTGTGAAATTTCCCATATATCCTGCTTATGTTCTCCTTTGATTTTTTTTAGGGGAAGAAAACCTTTTCTATCCCATAAAATTATTCTGGTATTTTTTCAGATTATAAATATCTTTTTTACATTTAATTAATTTTAACTTCTTCATCATTTTAATAGCCTCATTATTTTCAATTTTTGCCATCAAAATCGCCTCCTAATATTCCGAAACAGCTTCAAAATACCTAAAATGCTTCAAGTGAATATTTCCTATATTATTGCAGCAAATTCCTACTCCATTTTAATTTTCTAATTGACTGTATAATTATTTAGCTTTGGAAAATTCTAAGAGGGTTAACGTATCGTCATTATTAAATCTCTAATTTGAGTATTTGAAATTATTTAACAGTGTATTTAATGCTTCATATAGTGATTTTATTTCATAAGAAGTGATTTAGTTTTCATAACTTTCCATTTAATTTTCCTGGTCGATGTTTTCAGGTTCTATCCTATTCATATTCATAGTCATTATCTTAATAGGATTTTCAAAAGAACTAGAAATAAGAACACTATATCGGATTACGATAAATGAAGTTATCAAAGAAACTACACATATGACACCAAAAGAGACCAATTCGATGTTTTTCAGTCTACTATTAGTCTCCTAAAAGGCTATAGTGAGATCATTTTCGGCAACTTTATAACCTAAATAGAAGATTGTTTTGGAGTTTTGGCTGTGATCATATTTATTGGTGTCTGGACTACCTGGATAGACTTCTATAGGGGTTATTATACAGTAATATTTTTTGGAATTTTTTGTATAGGAGAATTGCTTGGGATCTCCTTGGTATTTTTTCTGTTGTTTTTATTTTTAAATTGATTTTTCATTTTAAATTTGATCAATCGCTTTTCCAATTACTTCTTTCAATTGCTGGGCTTCTTCAGAGTCTTGATCTTATCCGAATTCTACATATAGTAAATTTTGTGCTTATTTGTCTGTTTCAGAGGTTTAGTAGGATAACAAATATAGATTTTTATCAAAAATAATAAATAAATCGCCTATTTATTTATCTATAAGTGAGTTCTATAGCATTTTGTTTTTTTAATCGAATTTAAATTGTCCGTATATAATTGCATTTTGGTCCAATTTTTATGATATTGCCCCTGAATCTTACATATGGGAATAATAATCTCTTATAATATAAAATGAGGGCGAATCAATATTACAGGTGTATTAAAAATTATATTTATTCTAAGGATTATACATACAGTTTTCATCATTTTTAGTTATTGTGGTTATTTATTGCTTATTTTATATTTATTAAATCATCTCATCTGTTGGCAAAGGAACAAATATAGAATAATCTTATTCCGGATAATATATACCCACTGTATGGAATTAATCACCTAAAAATTCACTATTTTATGACTTTCCGAGGTAATGGGGGGATAAAACAGCTTTAAAAAGAACTGATAATAAATGGTTATATGAATATGTTTCTTAATCCTTTTATTTTTTTATGTTTTTTATATCTACTTTATCTTTACCAAACCAACCTGTTACCTATATATAAATTATTATTATTTTTTATTTTATTTTTTACTTAGAGCATTTTATTTTTTTCGATTTTGTTTATCCGATTCCATATATCAGGTTATTCCTCTTTGATTTTACCTTCTATTAATTCTTCTAGGTTTACATAAAGACTTTCTTCCATTGCTGCTTCATCTTTACTTATTTTATTATTTATGATTTGTATATAATATTGTTTTAAAGCATATATTTGTTTGAAATTATCTTAAAAACTGGCTTCTAGGGAATAATCTAAAAATTGTAGGTCTCGCATTTTGCTTTTTATTGATTTGCTTATATGCTCACTTGATATAAATTATGATAAATTTGGAAGGGAATAAAATGAGAATATTGCTAAGGATATTATACAAGTTATAATTATAAATAATATTGGAAATGCTAATACTATTATTCGTTTATTATAACTCATTTTCTTGAATTATTTTTTTATTTAAGATTTTATAATAATATTGATTTTTTGTTTGTTTTTTTATGAAAATAAAAATTTAATTTTGCATTTGTTATTTTTTAATAATAAAATATTTTAATTAAATATTCTTTATTTATACATTTGAAAAAAAAAGTAATTTATTATTAAATTATCATCTTATATATAAATAAGCATAGCTAAATGCAGAATTTTTATATTATTAATTTTTAAAATATTATAATTTATTAAAATCGAACAAATTATTAAGATAATTATATAATAAATTTAATTGAAAAATTATTATATATCTATTAATAAAGAAAAAAAAAAAATTAAAATAAAAAATTATAAATATATTATTATAAATTTAACTATTTGCTTCAGAATTTCGAGATATTAAAAAAAAGAATAATATATTATATAAATAGTAATATATCTTATATTTTATTATTCAAAATTATAAATTTAAAATAAGTACATACTTTTATGTATTATTAATATTAATATTAATATATAATAATTAATTCTTTTATACGATTTGTCCAATATATATATATATTTTTTTAAAAAATTCAATTGTCTTATATATAATTATTTTTAGTTTGAATTTTAAAACTATAATGATATTAATTTTATAAAAATAAATATTAATTAAACATTTTTTATACAATTATTTTTGATTTTACAATTATTAAAGATAATATTTATAAATATTATTGAATTTATTCTTTTTGTTTTTGTTAATTATAATTTTTTTTATTTAAAATATTAATATATTAATGATAATAATATTAATTAAATAGACTTATTAATAATTATAACGAGCATTTAATGTGCATTTAATTTTTTTTATTTTTAAATAGAATATTCTAGAGATTATTTTAGAAAAAAAATTTTTGATTAGAAATATATAAAAAATAACCTTAAATTAAAATATGAAATTCATTTTAAAATTTAAAATTATTAAAATTTTATATAAAATTATATTTTTTTTCGATATAAAAATACTAGTATTTATTTAATTTACACTTTTTATTTTTTTTTTAAAAAATAATCTATATATTTAATAATACTTTATTTTTTTTAAATGATTTTTAAATATTTGGTTAATTTATAGCTATTTAGAATTCAAATATTATTTTGAATTTTTTGTGCCTTTTTAGTTTCTTTATTTTTTGTTTTTTTTAAAAAAAATTTAATAAACAAACATTAAAAAAAAACAAAATAATAAAAAATATTAAAAAAATAGAAAATATTTATAATTATAAAATATTTTTTTATTTCATCTAAAATAATGCTTTAAAACTTTACCTGTTCACCTTGGAAAAAACATAGTTAAAACTTATTTTAAAATAGCAATTAAAATTATATAAAATCAAATAAAAATTTCTACAGTGAATATCCTGTAAAAAGACTTAATTTAGATTTTCAATAAAATTAAAACGTAAAAGAACTAAATAAATAACTATAAAAAGATTATTTTTCAGATAGATTTATTCCTTAAAGCAAAATAAACCCAAATTGCTTCCAATTATTAATGAATGAAGAATATTAAAATGTTTTTTAGAATAATTTAAATTAGTAGAATTTATTATAAAATAGTAATTAAATAAATACAGAAACTACTTAAAGAAACAGTAATTAATATTAAAATAATGAATAATAAAACAATAATTAAATTGAAAATTATACTTAAATGTTACGAAATAATATAATTTTAAATGAAAATAATAAAGACTAGAAAAATTTATTTTAGAATTAGAAAAAAAACTCTATATAATAAATAAAAAATAAAATTTAAAATAATAATATTAAAGTGTTTTCCTATAAAGCAAATATTAGAAAATTTAGTTAACTATAATTTTAAGATGAATCTGAATAAATAATATTTAATTCTGAGTAAAATATATATATATATATATATATATATATATAATATATATATACTATATATATATATATGATATATTTATTATAAAATTTTTCAAAAAATTAAATTTTCAAAATTTAAATTTTTTTTATAAAAAAATCAAAATTAATATTTTATTTTTATAATAAGATAAGAAAAATAAAGAAAAATTTTAGATTCTCCATACAAAATTTTAGATGCACCTGGTTTATCAGGAGATTTTTACACAAATGTATTAGAATGGTCTGCATAAAACTTAATTATAGTAGGTTTAAATAATTACGTATACACTTGGTCACCTTAAAAACGCAATACTAATAATATAATCTAAGATTTGACTTCCAGTACAAATATACAGGCAATCAGTTGTAATTGGGATGGCCATTTATTAGCCGCAGCAGACGAAGTTGGAGAAATAAAAATATATGATCTTGCCAAATAAGCAATTTTTTAACAATATAAAGCCCACGAAAATAAAATAGGAGCTATAGCTTGGAATAATAATTTAATAACTACCGCATGTAAAGATTCTTCAATAAAAATAAGAGACATTCGTTAAAAAGCGGATATATAAACATTAAACTTTCATAAAGATGTATAAAATTATTTATTTAATTTTTTTTGATTTTAATATTAAATAAAAGTAAGTTTGTGGTATAAAATGGTCATGTGATGGAAATAATTTAGCCTCAGGAGGAAACGATAATAAATTATATGTATATAATTTAAAAATGAATAAAAGAACATCCTCTTTGAAATCTCATGTAGGCGCCGTAAAAGCATTAGCATGGTCCCCACACAATTAAAATATTCTAGTTTCAGGAGGAGGAAATAAAGACTAAACTTTAAAATTTTGGAATATTTAAACTAATTAGTTAATTAAAAGTATACATACAGGTAGTTAGATTTGTAATATGCATTATTCTAAAAACTTTAATGAAATTGTTACTACTCATGGGTTTTAACTTAATTAAATTTCACTATGGAATGCTAATGATTATTCTTAAATTACTACTTTGTATGGACATTCTGAAAGGGTATTATATTTGGCAGCGTCTCCAGATTAAGAAGATATTGTTACAGGATCGGCAGATGAAACTTTGAGATTTTGGAAAGTAATTATTTATATTTATATTGTTTATAATTATTTTTATTGTTTTTTAGATTTTCCCTAGTTTACCAAAAATTGATATTAATAATTAATAAAGTAAATTAAATCCTTTGTATGAAAGCTTAAGATGAAAAATTAATGTTTTTTTATATATAAAGCAATAAATATTTTATATATAATAAATGAGAGTTTTTTTGTATTTTAAAATATTTTTTAATAAAATTATGTTTTATTTTAATATGATAAACTTATAATTAATTATTAATAAAAAACTAAATAATTTTATTGATAAATTAAAAATATTATATTTTTATTTATTTACAAAATTATATTTTATTTATAAAATTTTAATTTTTATTAATAAAATTTATTTTTCTTAATTTAAGTAAAATTTTATTTATCAATTATATATTAATTTTTAATATTTTTTGTTCTTTCTTATTTATTAAATTTTTATTTTTATAATTTATTTTAATTAAAATATATTTATACATAAGATTATTTAAATATATAATAATTTTATTAATATATTATTTGTAATTTTATTTATTAAATAAAATTATTTTAAATATGTATTAATATATAAAATTATTTATATTCGATTTTATTTATATTAATATTTATAATTAAATCATTTATTAATATTTTATTTCTTATACATTTATATACAAATTTAAAATATCAATTTAAATAAATCTAAAATTAAATATTTATATTTATTAAATGGATTAATAAACCTAAAATTATATTGGAAATATTGAAGATCTAGCACCCAAATATAATCTTAACTTGAAAAGCCCAACTTTATTTTTCACTAATTTTTCAAAACTAATAAAAAACATAAAATCTAAAAAAGAAAATGAAAATTTAGAAAATAAAGAAATATAAGAATTCTAAATAAAAACTAACCAACTGGGTCTAATAATAAAAAAAATCGAAAATTACATAAAATAGTATCCTTAATACTTCCGAAATCCTGAAAACTTTAATTTATTTAATATTTCATTTCATATTACTGGAAAGTATTTATTAATAGGCTTAAATTTTTTTTTTTGGCAAAATATATTAAGTTGCTTTTAAATATATGTATTGGATGTTTTAACTGATTCTTTGAAGGAAAATATTAATAAAGGCTATATAACCTTTCTTTTAATAAGTCTTATTGTATGTTATCTAATATAAAATATATTTGATTCTTAATATAGATGGCTTAATTAAAAATGGGGTTCATCTATATCTGTAACTTTGCAATATCTTCTTTTTAAAAAGGCTTTGAGGACTTAGGTATTTACAGGAAACTAGGCTTAGTAGTAAACTAAAAATAATAAAAATTAAGAAAAGGATTAAAATGTTCCTGATATTAATAATTTAATGACTGTAGATGTAAGTGAATGCTTATATTTCTATTGGGGATTCGTTTCTTTTATAGTTTCTTTTATAAAAGTTATAATAATTTTGTGTATTTTATATTATAAGATGGGAAATTCTATGTTTTTGGGTTTATATGTGTTGATAGGATCCTTTGCTGCTAATTTAGCTTCTACTTTTATGACTTTATTTATGTATTAAAAAATCTATTAAAAGAAAGATGGAAGGGTTTCTTTAAGTAAGGATGTTATTGAAGGAATAAAAAGTATAAAATACTTGGGTTGGGAATAAATATTTGAAAAGAAAATTATGAATCTGAGATTTTAAGAATTCAAATTTATATCAGGGTCTAAACTATTTGAAGGAGTTGTAGATATATTTTGGTAATGTATTAATTATGTAGTCTTATTTTTTTTATTAACGTAATATAATGAAAATAATTCAAAAGGAATTTAATAATTCAATGTTTTTACGATAATTGCTCTTTTTGGGTAATTAAATTATCCTCTAGGAGTTATTCCGTGGACTTTGGGGTATGTAATGAAATGTCGAGTTTCTTACTAAAGAATTAAAATGTATTTAAATCAAAAAGAAATAGATGAAAGCCTTAAAATTTGTTAAGATGAATTTAATGAGAATTCTATTTTAAAATAGTAAACTGTTTCTATTTATTTAAATAATTTATAATTTACTTGGCCAAATAGAATTTAAACTAAATAAGATTTTGAAAAATAAATAGATGAAAAAAATGATATTTAAATCAAGTTATTGGATAATAACGATGACTAAATAAATTAAGACTTTAAACTCATAATAGATAATTTAATAATAAACAAAGGAACTTTAAATATAATTGTTGGCTAAATTGGATGCGGAAAAAGTGCTTTTTTGTAATCTATTTTAAATGAAATGGATTGCTAAATAAATAATAATGTTAATTAGGGCTAAAAATAAATAATTGTTAATGGAAATATAGCTTATGTTTCTTAAAATCATTGGCTCTAGACTAAAACTATAAGAGAAAATATTTTGTTTGGGAAAGATTTTGAATAAGAATGGTATGATTAATGTGTTGAAGTATGTGATTTATAGATTGATTTTGGATATTTTTGGAAAAAAGATTAGAAGGTAATAGCTTCTGGGGAAATAATTTAAGTGGAGGTAAAGATAAAGAATTGCAATTTGTAGGGCTATTATTCAAAGAAAGATATATATTTATTTGATGATATTTTTCCAGTTTAGATGCTCATGTGGTTGAAAAAATATTCGAAAAAGCCATTATAGGTTTACTTATTTAAAAATTGAGAAAAACTGTGATTTTTGTAACTAGTCATTATGGCATTTTATAAAAAAAGTATAATATTGATAAAATAATATATATTGAGAAAGGTTAAATTATAAATAACGAAGAAAAAATTGAAGAATTTGTTAATAATAGTATTTAGAATGAATAAGTAAAAAAATAAAAAAAAGAATAAGAAAATAAGATGTTTTTTAATGAAAAAAACGAAACAGAAAATGAATTAAATAATGAGCTTTAAATAACACAATCAAAAATATTTTAAAAAAATAAATAATTTAAAGATAAAGAAGAGGATTTAATAAATTAACAAGATGAACTAAGAGAATAAGGCGAGGTAAAATTCGATATCTATCTATAATATTTCAAATCCATGAACTATATAATATTTTTTTTGTATTTATTATTTATTGCTTTTAGTCATGCAATTTAACTCTTTATTGATTTTTGGTTAAGAGACTATGTTTCTAAAGATTATAAGTCATCTTTTTATGAATATATGAATCGTTTTTTCAATTATAATTTCGAGGAAACTTTCCTTTTCTAAATTTATTTAATTTTATTAATAAACGTTTTCAATTGTTTATTTTATTTCTTGAGTTCAATCTTAAGTTGTTAGTCTATATTTAAGAAACTTAATAAGAGTATAATATACAGTAAAATGAGCTTTTTTGATAAAAACCCCGTAGGGAGGATTGTTTGTAGAATTTCGAATGATGTAGGATAAGTAGATCATGATATTCCATTTTCTTTTCACGAAACTTTAAATTAATTTATGTCAATTTTAGGCTATCCTTTAGGAATTTTAGTTATGTTTCCATGGATTTCATTGCCTTTTATTATTTCGGTAGCTTTGATGCTTTATTTCTTCCTTTAATTTAGGGTTGCTAATAGGGAATTGTAAAGGCTAACTTTGGTAAATAATGGAAAACTATTGACTATTATAAATGAAAATTGTAATGGGTTGATTCTTGTGAGGTCTTTTGAGCAAGAGAAATATATGACGAGGGATTTTTTATATAAGTTGAATGATTATAATAACTCTTTTCTATGCTCTCATTCTATTTAAATCTGGCTTTTGATAAGAATATTAATATCATCGAATATTGTTTATTTTTTTGTGTGTGTGACTGTTTCGTTGCTAATTTATATGGATATGCTGATCGATTAGAATATTATTGCTATGTGCTTGACTTATTCAATTTTATTTTCTGATGGTTTTGCGAATTTTCTTTATTTTTAAGGAGTATTAGAATAAAGTATTATCAGTGTGGAAAGGATTGTTTAATATTTCAAAAATGATTTGGAAAAACCTGAAGAGGTTTTGTAAGGAAATTTAGAAGAAAATGAGTTAAATATTGAAGAAAAAAGTGGAAATTATGATATTATTTTTAAAGATTTATACATTACATATGATCAAGTAACAAATATTGACAAAAATTAAAAAGACATACAATTCGCATTGAAAAATATTAACTTAAAAATTAAAAAAGGAGAAAAAATTGCTTTTTGTGGAAGAACAGGAAGTGGGAAAACTTCAATTTTGAATATAATTTTTAATTTATATCCATTTTAATTTGGAAGTATTTTTATTGATGGAAAAAATATTAAATAGTACTCTATTAAGGAATTAAGATCAAAAATGTCAATTATTCCTTAGTTTGGATTCTTATATAATAGTAGCTTGAAGGATAATTTAGATCCTGATAGTTTTTTTTCAAAAGAAGATGTTGAATAGAAGATTAATTAAACGAATTTAAAATTAAACATTTAAAATGAATAATAATAAGAAATCAATGATAATTAAAAAATTGATTTAGATTATAAAGTGGAAAACGGAGGAAATAATTTATCTAATGGATAGAAATAAATTATAAATTTTTTAAGAATTATTTTAAGGGATACTGATATTATTTGCTTAGACGAGGCTACGTCTAATATGGATCCTTAGACAGATTAGGAATTACATGATTAGTTATTTAAACTGGCAGAAAATAAAACTCTTTTAGTTATTACTCACAGATTAGAAAATATAGATAAATTTGATAGAGTTGTCGTTTTGGATAATGGAAGTATTGTTGAATGTGGACATGTTAGTTAACTAAGATAAATTAAAGACGGATTTTTTAATAGATTATTAAAACATTGAATAAAATATAATTACTTTATAATAAATATAAGATTATTGAAAATTAAAAAAAGATTAAGAACTTAAAGAATTATCTTAATATATAATCTTAAATTTTAAAATAATCATCCGTATTTAAATATTCAAATTTATTAGATACTTTAATTTTTTTTTTTTTT